ATATTCATTTATACAAATTCCATTTATACAATATAACTAACTATTTGACACATTTCACATTTTAATACATAATTTATTATGTTAGGTTTTTCTCCTCACAAATTAAGCTATCAAAAAACTAAATTTGATGTATTTAATTTTTATATTTTGTATTGATCGCTCAAATGTGACTGAAAGTTTTTATCAAAAATGTGGGTGTTATATATATATATCAAATGTGATCCAATTTTACAAAGGAGAAACAAAATAACAACCTTAAAATTGTCTATTATATTATATTACTATGTGGTTGTTGCATGTTTTTGATTTTTTTGTTTTTTGTGTTAGGTATATTGTTTGATGAATTTGATAAAGATAAAAACCATAGTAGTTATTTTAATGATAATGATAAAAATGAGTGGGAATTAAAAGTTATTGTTGAAAAAAGACTACTGTATATATCGAGAATTCCAAGTAATTCATTTTCTTTATTAATTAATTATTATTTATAAAGAAATTAAAAAAAAACAATTGAAAAGTGTTGTGTTTTTTTTAATTTTTTTATTTCGTGTTTAAATTAAAAAAAACAAAACTAAGTTTTATTTTTTTTTCTTCTATTTTTTGAATCAAACTGAACAAAAACATTTATACATTGTAAATTAATTTTAATTGTTTTTTCTTTGTAGTTTCGGATTTTTTGCCGTTTAATTTAATTAATCTTTTCTGTTGTTTTTATTGTATTTTGTTTTTTTTAATAATAATTGAAAAATTAAACTTCGAAATCGATAACAATGAAATTAACAAAAAGTAACAACCAAATTTGGCGACCACTTGTTATAGGAGATGGGTCGGTTGGTCGCTCAGAAATGATATTCCAATTTTGTGAACATCAATTTGTTGAAACTTTTGATGTTCTTAAAGAGCGCTGTTATATAAAACAAATAATACTTGACAGAAAAATGATATCAATTGAAATATTGGATTCGATAACACCGACACTTCAATATGATTATGACGAGTATAATATCAAAAAATCTGATGGCTTTATTATAATGTATTCAGTCACATCTGAAGAGTCATTTTATTACGCGCATTCTATATTTGAAAGTTTATATTACATTTTTGACTTGTTTCCTTATGAACACATTCCCATTGTTTTATGTGGTAATAAAATTGATTTAAATACTCAAAGAAAAGTTTCCAGAGAAGACGGTGAAAAAATGGCAAAAGAATTTAAAGTACCTTTCTATGAAATATCTGCACAATACAATATAAATGTCACCCAATGCTTTTTGGCAATTGTTGATGAAATATTAAAAAACAATACATTTTTAGAACTATATAATGAAAATGTGAAAAGACAAACAAAATACACAAACATAAAAACAAAGACCATTAAATGTGTATTATTATAATTTATGTTTTAAAAGTTTTTAATATTAATGATTATTCGAATAAATTTGTTTGACAAATAAACAAGTTTTTCTATAAAATTTACATCAAATTAATTTATTTGACTGTTTTACTATAAATGTTTAATATATAGTAAATTAAACCATATAATGATACATTATTAAAAACTATTTATTTTTATTATAATACTGTTAATAAATTTCGAATAATTCGTTTATTATTGTGTAATTTATAATACAATATAGTAAATAAACTGTAAATAAATATACTATTAATTATACTAAACATAAATTTGATTTTTATAAAACTACTCTCAGACTTAACAATTCATTCTTCTTAATCGTTTTTTTGATTTTAAAAAAATGATAAACTCCCCCCAAGCCAACATTATAAGAAAAGCCTGTTTTCTAAAATCGTGCTATTATTTGTAAATTATAAATAAATTATAAATAAATTAAAATGTTAATTGTTGTTTTCAAATTGTAATATTTGTCAACACAAATTACAAAAATAGAATTATTACAGTTTTTAACCACCCTAAAAATATTGTTGTTTGTATTGTGAAAACGAAATGTAATTGTTTGTCTTTAAAGTCAAAACATCAAAAATAATCTTTAAAATTATTATAGTTCGAAGATGAATGTTATGATGTTGATTTTGTTTCTAAAATACAGTGTTGCTTTCTTCGATTTTGATCAACCCGAAAACCCAAACGACCCCAAAGAACAATTCACAGTTAACGAAAAAATGAAAAAGAAAATGGAATTGTTGATACAAGAAGGAGAGATACAGACTTTTCGTTTAAATCTCCTTGCAAATAGAATTGGGAGATTTATAACAACAGTTAAATTTGAAGAATACAAAGATGCCGTATTGGGTGCAAAATCAATTGAAGAGGAAATTCTTGGTATCCTCGATGAAATCTTATTAAAAAACTACATTGACCAAATACAAATAAACAATTAATTTAAATTAGTCGATGATGCATTACAAAAGAGACAACAATCACTGCACATTGGTATTTACTTAACAATATGATATTAATGATGAACAGAATTAATAAATCCAAATTAAATAATCAGTACAAATCAACTTTGAAATTGCAACTTCTTGTACCAATGGAGTTTTATAAACTTTTAATAGACGTTTTGAAATTCATTACTAAAATACATGGTATCAAAGAATATACAAAATTGAAAAATTCAGTCGATTTATTAAACACCTTTATTAAAAAGTTGAAAAAAGAAATAAAAGAGGCGGATTTAAATTTTCAAGTCAGAGAAATCAATCAAAAAGATTTTTTGGTAACTTATGGCATCAAGAAAAAAGATGCAATTTTCCGAAAATAAATAATCGCGAAAATGAGACGAAATATCAACTTATATTGGCAAAAAAATGAAATATATTATAATTATTGTTAATTATAACTATTCTGTGTTTGAGATCATTTTCGCCAAAAAATAATAAATTAAAAGCAAACCAATAACAACCTTCGATTAAAAATAATTTTACTTCTTTTCATTCTTCCAACATTGTCTTACAAGTTGATAATTTATATTAACATATAACATTTTATAATTTAATACTAAGTCTTATAAACTCAAAAACTGATTTATAAAAAATAATATTAAACATGTTGAAAAATTATATTCAAAATAAAATTTTTATTTTAACACCTTAAATTTAATAATTATATTTACTAATTTGAAACTTGAATTTATTTATAACAATTAATTAACTTATTCAACTGATTGGTAATTTTATAATAATTTAGTATATTTAAATTTTGGGTGATAATTGTTTGTAAAAACATACCAAAAATCTTCACAACCATTTCTGCAATTTTCACACAGCAAAAAACTATTGCGTTTTTTTCTTTACAAAGCATGCATTGAATGTACTTGAAATGTAAATGCATACAATTGCGATAATTAATGGTATAAGGGCTTTCATATAATTCACTGTTTCATTATCATCGTCATATTTTACTTTAAAACATAACACCAAATGCGTGGTTAACAAACCAATTGGTATTATTCAAAGAACACCAATAAAAATAGACTCTACACATGCTCCCTCGTTTTGGTTGACAAAATATTATCCCAAACACGCTTCTTGTTCACGATAATAATCTTCGTTGTAAACAAAAAGAAAATACATGGCAGTCAAAACAATTCCATTAACAATTTCAAAAATCACTAAAAACAAAAAAAGAAAATAATCAAACATATTCCCACCCCATATCCAAAAACATCTTCTTTGAACAACTTGGCTTGTAAAAACACCAAAACGACAAATAACACAGGACATAAAAATATGGATTTTGTCATATCACCAACAGAAAAGAAATTTTGGTCGTTGGAATTGTAGTAATGACCACTATTGATTTTATTTGATAAATTGTAAGTGAATCCACAACTCAACAACGATACAACAATTTGTAAACAAAGTGGAAGTAATACATACCCAAATGAAAAGACTCCAAAAGCATGAATACTAAACAAAACGGTTGTTGTTAATACGACAACTGGCAAGAAAAAGGATGAATTGATGTCTGAAAAATTAGAGAGAGATATTTGGAATACTGTAGATAAAGGAATTGGAAATAATAATAATCTTTTTACGTCGTTTGTATTTGTTTCTGAGAAATGTCTTAAAAAACTAAGCCAGTAAGTTCCTATTAAATAAATGAAAGCAAAGATAAATAGTAATAAAGAGATAACACCGGAATTTATTGAAATGTGTTATCCAGAGAAAGGAAATGGAAAATGGAAAATAATAATAGGCACAAAAAGTAAAAGTATTTGTTATATAATTAGCAAAAATGAAAAGGAAACACATTTTTATTTCAGATATTAAACGTTTTTTCTTTCAATAATATACAAAACAGTTTTTATTTGCGAACACACTGAAGTGCTATTTTTGGTAGTCAAAAATGAAATGCAAGCTTCGCGATTTATTAAATCTTTATTGAAGATTATTGAGTAAATTGTGTTTTCAACAATTAATTAAGAATATAAAACACATGTTTATGTAATGTTAAGAAAAGTATGTATATCACAATGAGTCGATATTACACGAATCACTGAAAGAGGAAATAATAATTGTGAGTTCATGTAACTATTTTATAGATTTTTGGTTATTTTCATTGAATTGTAAAAATATAAAATTTAAAACTTTTCAAAAAACAACAAGAGTTAGTTTTCAAAAGTTGTATTTTTTTGCAAAAAACACACAAAATATTCTTTAAAATGTTGGGAGTTAGGTAATAAGTCATAAAAAATAGTAAAAAAATAAACAATGATTTTCTAGTGTTTCGAGGGTTTTCCCGATATATTTCAGTTATTAATATCTAAATACCGGGGACAAGGTTAGAGAAAGGACAACGTTTAGAGAAAGACTCTTGTTGTATTTTACTTGTAAATTCAAAGTAGTGATGCTAATGTTGATTATAATCAACACTATTTATATTGATTATGTGATTATTGTGTTATAATGTTCAAATAAAAATTATTTAAATTTGTTTTTGTATTATAAAAATATTTACTAAATATTTGTTTTCATGTTATTTAAATGATTTATACGAAATTCAAAACAACTTACTTGTTTAAATTGTGATGTTTATCTTTAAACTATAAAAATATATTTATTATAATTATCAATTTTTATAGTTTTGTTATAACTTAAACAACCACATTGTTTTAATTATTGAATATTATTAATAAATCTATTTTTTAATTATTTTCTTAATTCAAATAATTTCAAATCTAAAAAAATCGAAAAACAACAAAACTCTCTTTATTTTTTAATAAATATTTGAATAATATTTATCAATACTTGACAAGATAAATAATTAAAACATTATAAGTTAACTATTATTTTTGAATATAATAACACATAATCAATTGTTTTTCAAATTAGTGATTATTTCAATTGATTATATAATGAACAAAAATACAAATTCATGCTATTTAAATATGTCACCATAATTCTTTGGTTAATTATACAATTATCCGCTTCTTTAATGTGGTGTCAAATTGGAAAAGAGATAATTCAATGTAACACAACGACTTTAAACACGAAGTGTGTTAACACAATATTTACTATTAATATAGATGTAATGTATATTAGAAATACTTCAAATGTTTACATTATTTGTAAAGATATTAAACAATTTAAATTTAATTGTGATGAAAATTTGAGATATCTTAATGTGGATTTTAATGAAACAGAATTGGTTTTTTATTCCAATAATTTCCACGTTCAAAAAGTTAATGAAAAATGTTTTGATTTATATTCAAAACAATTTAAAAACACAACAAAACATACAATAAAAACTATAGGCGCTTATTGTTCTGTTAATAATTGTGAAACTTGCTATTTTACTGATCGTACCAAATGTCAAACGTGTTTTTCAAATTTTTCTTTAATCAACAGTACTACATGTAGACCTTGTAACGATTTTTCTAATTGTGAAACGTGTTCATCAACTTCTGCACGTTGTAAAATTTGCAAAACAGATTTCTATGACGCAGGAAACACAACTGGACCGACTTGTCTTCCATGCCCAACAAATTGTTTAGTGTGTACTAATTTAAAAGGTTGTGAACGATGTGTTGATGGGTATTATCTGAATGGCACTACTTGTACAAAATGTGATCCAACTTGCAGTCAAAGTTGTCTCAATAAAACTGGTGCTTGTTTAACATGCAATGAAAATTATGTCAAGAGTCTAACAAATTCCAGTCAATGCGTATCATGTTCTTCATTTGATATAAATTGCGAAAGTTGTATTCAAAATGAAAGAAGTTGTTATAAATGTAATAGAAATTATTATCCTGGAATAGATGGGAAATGTGTTTTATGCCACAGCTCTTGTGTAACAGGAGAGTGCAATACAGTGAATGGAAAATGCAACACATGTGCAAATAATTATACAAAATATATTTTAGAACAAATTGAATGTCAAAAGTGTCAAGAATTTGACAACAATTGTAACACATGTTCAGTAACTACAAGAAAATGTATTAAATGTAAAATTGGGTTCAGACCCGATATTTATTATCCTAATAACTGTATTCCTTGTAATGAAACATGTTTAAATAAATGTGATACCAAAAACGGAGCTTGCACTTCTTGTATTACTGGGTATGTACTGACGACAGTTTCTTCTTCAAATGCATGTGAATTGTGTGAAAATTTTGATCAGAATTGTGAAACATGTGAAGACAATGGAATAAGAATATGCAAAATATGTAAAACTGGATTTCGTATTAATCCATCAACAGGAATGTGCATAAATTGTGACTCATATTGTACTCAATGTATTTCTTCAACAGGTATTTGTACCAGATGTTCCGATGGGTACACACCCAAATTAACACTTTCAACGTCTTGTGAACTCTGTACATCAATAGAAAGATGTTTAACATGCTCTACAACTGAAAGAAAATGTATTACTTGTTCAAGTGGTTATTACGTTTTGAATGGGTTTTGCAAAGCTTGTTCTGCTACATGTGGTGGTATGTGTGATCCCATAACAGGTGATTGTACTGGGTGTATTTCAAATTACGTTTTTTCAAAGACTGATTCTAAAATTTGTGAGACTTGTGGTGACTATAGTAAAGAGTGTGTAACATGTTCAACTGATTTCCAAAGGAAATGTGTCACTTGTTCAACTGAATATTATCCAGACGCAGATGGAAATTGTGTTACTTGTTCGCCAACGTGTATTTGTGATTCGACTACGGGATTCTGCACTTCTTGTCAACCAAATTACGTTTTACAAAATCAAAAATCAAGAACATGTGAACTATGTTCATCATTTGATCCAAATTGTCAAACGTGCAGCAGTGATTCGTCAAGAAGATGTGTTACTTGTAATTCGGGTTGTTATATAAACACTAATTATTATTGTGTATCGTGTGATTCAACGTGTGGTGGAAAGTGTCAGAACACGACTGGGTATTGCACTGGATGTATTGAGAATTATGTATTAACAACAACATCTTCGACTATTTGTCTACCATGTTCTACTTTTGATAATAATTGTTTACAATGTGCCTCTGATTATTCAAGAAAGTGTACAAAATGTGGTGTTAGTAATATGTATCCAGATGAAAGAACATTTATATGTAAAACATGTGATTCAACTTGTAATGGAGGATGCGACCAATCCACTGGAATATGCACCACTTGCTTGCAAAATTACGTATTTACAGAACCTCAAAGCAAAAGTTGTGTTAGTTGTAACACTTTTGATCCAAATTGTCTTAAGTGCAATTCTAACTTTAATAGAAGGTGTTCTGTTTGTAAAACATCTTATTACCCAAATTCAAATGGTATTTGTATTTTATGTTCTTTAAACTGTACTTATTGTAATCAATCAAATGGAATATGTACTCAATGCAAACAAAATTACGTATTTAAAACTACAAACAGTGCAGAGTGTGTTTATTGTAAAGACTTTGATGCAAATTGCAAAAGTTGTTTTATAAACTCCGATAGATTATGTTATGAATGTGAGTCTGGATATTATCCAGGAATTAATAAAATATGTACCAAATGTGATGATACATGTGGTGGAAAATGCAATGCAATGACTGGATATTGTACTGGATGTAATACGGGGTATGTCCCAATTAATTCGGTATCTTTAACATGTCAAAGTTGTTCAACATTTGATTCAAATTGTTTAGAATGCACAACCGACTTCAAACAAATTTGCAAAACATGTTCAAGTGGCAAATATCCATCTTCGTCTGGTACATGTCAAGAGTGTGATAAATCATGTGGTGGACAGTGTAATGGCACAACAGGGATATGCACAGGATGTCTCGATAATTATGTTTTTTATGATGATAAAACAGTGACTTGTCAGTCATGTTCACTCTTTTATAACAAGTGTTTAAAATGCGCAACAGATTACTCGAGAAAATGTATAGAATGTCAACCAAATAATTACTTATCCAATAATATATGTCTTCCTTGCGACTCCACTTGTAAAAGTTGTGATGGGAAAACTGGCCAATGCACAAGTTGTAATCAAAATCATGTTTACTCTGGCAATAAAATGTCATGTGTACCATGTTCGACTTATGACACAAATTGTCTCACTTGTAGTACTTCTTTTGAAAAGATATGCACAACATGTATTAATAATAAATACCCCGATAAAATAACAGGACAATGTATCGCATGTTCTATAGGTTGTCAATTCTGTGACGGGACAACCGGAAATTGTACAAGATGTGGAGATAATTTTGTAAATGATGAATCAACAAGTAATGGTTGTGTAAGTTGCTTCGATTTTGATAACAATTGTGTGAGATGTGCATCAGATAAATCAAGAAAATGTGAAAAATGTACAACAAAGTATTATCCATCAAATAATTATCCTTTTAAATGTATTAATTGTTCTAGTACATGTGGTGGTATGTGTGATCCAACGACAGGTGATTGTACCGGATGTATTTCAAATTATGTATTTTCAGACACTGATTTAAAAATTTGTGAAAGTTGTACAAACTATAGTAAAGAGTGTGTAACATGTTCAACTGATTTCCAAAGGAAATGTATCACTTGTTCAACTGGATATTATCCAGACGCAGATGGAAATTGTGTTACTTGTTCGCCAACGTGTATTTGTGATTCGACTACGGGATTCTGCACTTCATGTAAATCAAATTACGTTCATTCAACAAGTGACCAAAAAGTATGTGAAACGTGCGCATCATTTGACCCAAACTGCATAACTTGCAGCAGTGATTCGTCAAGAAGATGTGTTACTTGTAATTCCGGTTTTTACCCAAAACAATACGGGGATTTTAAATGCCAAAAATGTGATACTTCTTGTAAAACCTGTAGTAGTACAACTGGTTATTGTTCGGAATGTGCAACAAATCAATACACATTAAACAATGATAGCTCTATATCATGTGATTTGTGTTCTTCTTATGATTCCAACTGTTCGACATGTTCAACGACTCAAAGGGGATGTTCTGTTTGTAAAGAAAATAATTACTTGGATATTAAAACAAAGCATTGCTCGGTCTGTGACAATTCCTGCAATTATAAATGTAACAAAGAAAACGGGATTTGTGATGAATGCATCACTAATTACGTTTTTACTGAACCCAACAGTAAAATATGTATTTCTTGTAATACTTTTGATGTTAATTGTAAAACTTGTTCCGCTGATTTCGCACGAAAATGCATTGAATGCTCAAGTGGGTATTATCCCAATCTAACTGGCCGTTGTGTCCAATGCAGCACAATTAACTTTTATTGTAATTCTTGTGATTCAAAAAAACAACAATGTTTAGATTGTATAAATCCGTATTATTTAAAATCAGAAAATTCTTGTTTAAAATGTCCAGAAGGTACTTATAAAAACACCACAACTTCATGTAAAAATTGTTTTGAAAAAATTCCAAATTGTAGGACATGTGAAGGTTCCGAAATACAAACTAGGTGTACATCGTGTTATGCTCCTTATACAATTAATACTCGAGGAAACTGTGTTTTATGTAATTATCCAAATTATTATATACAGTCATCAAACACCAATGGTAGTTGTGAAATGATGACTGAAAACTGTGATATACAAATTAATATAAATATGTGTGTCAAATGCAAAAGTGGGTCTTTCCTTTCTGAATACAAATGTAAAAATACTACTAATTGTACATCTTCAAATATACTTTCACTGAATTCTTGTGACTGTGTTGACCAAATCTCTATTAATTCAGATTGTTGTAAAACTATACCAAATTGTAAATATTTAAAAATAGTAAAAAGTAAAGAACAATGTTTAAACTGTAATGACAATTACATACTCACAACAGATCAAATGTGTACAACTAAAGTAACATCTGGGATATATAGAAATGGTGTGTATTATCAATGTAAAAACATAGAATATTTAAATTATTTTAATTCGTGTACTACATGTGGTGGTGCCACTTCGGTTTGTGTAGAAAATAATAACAAAATTAATTACCTCAATTGTGCCAACAAAGAAATTTTGGATGTTGAAAAGGCACTTTGTATAACTGATATAAATTGCACAACAGTAACAACTAATTTTTGTAGTAAATGTATAGAAATTAATAGTTTGTATCATGGTATTTGTGTATCTTGTCAAACAAAATTCTGTTCTATTTGTTACTCATCAAATGCAAACGAAAAGTGTATGAAATGTATGAAAGATTATTTAATGATATCAAACAATTGGTGTATTCACCAAACTAATGTTGGTTGTATACGATCGACCAGTGTTGGTTGTATACAATGTAAGAATGAATATTATCAAGTAGATACAACAAACACTGAAAATAAATATGACTTTTGTCTTCCTATATCAACTCTTAATATTAATAATTGTAAACATGTCCAATCTTCTTTGTTAAAATGTGTTGAATGTTTAGATTCTTATAAATTAAAAAATGGAATTTGTGCAGAAAATTTTGAACAAGACGATATCAATGAAACAAGTTTTAATCAAAAATATCAATTTGAATATTTCCACACAAATTATAAAAATCAAATTAAAAGTAGTATTGAAACGATATGTGTTGATAGAACAAATAAAGGATGCATACACTGTTTGAATGGGTTTTATTATAATCATATTAATACAAATGACATTTCTGGTGTTGAAAGCGAGTGTGTGCCATGTGTTAATAACTGCAAAACGTGTTATAACTCAACTCTTTGTACTTCATGTCTTAAAGGTTATTATTTAAATTCTTTGATGGAGTGTCAAAGTCTCGGTGAACTTTCTGTAAAATGCAATTTGACACTTCCAACGGGAGGGGGCTGTGCCATTTGTAATGATGGGTATTACAAGTTTAATTCAGATTGTAAAAATTGTGATAAGTCGTGTTTAACATGTTTCGATGCAACATCATGTCTTTCATGTAACACAAATTATTATAGACTTTCAACAACTCAAAAGTTGTGTCTTCCATTTTCAGAAATGTTAAATTGTGAAAACAAAACAGAAATTGGCTGTTCTAGATGTTTATCTGAATATTATGAATTGAACCACATTTGTTACAAATGTATTGATAATTGTATTTCATGTGAAGATGCTAATAGTTGCGAAAAATGCAAAGAAAAAGATTACGTTTTATTAAATAAAAAATGTGTGCATTATACAGAGATAGAACACTGTCTCTCTGCATCTCATTCGAAGTGTACAACATGTGATAGAAATAAGAAGATATCTGATGATGGAGTTACGTGTCTGGATTCAGTCAATTATGGAGTTATTGTTGGTGTGCCAATTACTATTATAATTGTGTTAATAATAGTTATTACTGTTGGTATTATCATAACCATATTTTTTATAATTCGACACAAAGAGAAAATTGAGACTTTAAATATTTGTGTCTTCCAAATGAATCGTTCGAATATTGTAATGTCAAGTATAAATAAAAATATATGTTGTAACAAAAAGACATTAAGGTTTAATTTGGATAGTGATGATTTACTACCAGTTGATGAAGAGACAAGAGACTTGATTTGTATTGGAAACACTTCGAAACATGAAATGAAAATTCAATTCAGTGTTGTAGAAGGATGTGATTACTATGACATTCGGACTGTACCAAACATTATAACATTGAAGCGAGGGTTTGCGTGTGAATTTGAGTTGTTTATAAAACCATTGTGTTCATGTCAAATGAAAGAAGAGATTCGTGTTATTGGTTTGGACCTTCAGACGTGCAAAGAGTACATAGAAAATATTCACATTGAATGTGCAACACAAAATACAACAAAATTGAATTACAGAGAGTTACAAGAAACAAAGCAAATTGGTGAAGGGTCGTTTGGAGTTGTTATGATAGGTACTTTCAGAGATAACAAAGTTGCTATTAAGAAGATGAAAAGTGTTAATAAAACACCTGAACAACTCAAAGAGTTTGAAAAGGAAGTTTCCATGTTAGACAAATTTAGAAATGAGTATATCATCCATTTCTATGGAGCTTGTTTTATAACCAATCACATATGTATGGTCACCGAATTTGCTCAATATGGATCTTTACAAGACTTAATTAAAAAGAAAAGTAAAAACGAAATCAATTTAAAAATGAGAGTTAAACTTATATTAGATGCTTCAAAAGGACTTTTATATTTACACGAAAATGGTGTATTACATAGAGATATCAAACCTGATAATATTCTGGTCTTAAATTTGGATTATACACAGAAAGTTAGTGGTAAATTGACTGATTTTGGGTCATCACGAAATATTAACATGATGATGACAAACATGACATTCACTAAAGGAATTGGAACACCTAAATATATGGCACAAGAAGTTTTAAACAAAGAACATTACAAAAAACCAGCGGATGTGTTCTCTCTAGCCGTGTCATTATTTGAGTGTCTGATTTGGGAAGAAATATACCCCAAAGAAGAATTCAAATTCGCGTGGAGTATTGCTGATTTTATCACAAGTGGAAAAAGAATAGTAAAACCACTTAACATGGATGAAAGTATTTATAATGTCATTTCTAAAATGTGGGCTGTTATACCACAAGAAAGACCAACTATGGATTTATGTGTGGAATTTATAGAAAGATATTTTAATAACATTTAATGATGTTTTTTGTTTTTGTTGTTGTTATACAAAATTGTATAAGATAATATTATATTTTATTATATTAAATATATTGAATATTACTTTTTATAATTATAAAATTTGTGTATGATTTATTACTTAATGCAACAAACAACAATAATTCAATAAAGTTATTTCTAAATTTTTTCAATTTTAATGTGTTAATGCTATCAAAGCAAATCAAATTGAACATTGATGAATTACTAATTACATAATGTTTTAAATTGTCGTGATGCTCAAAAATTAAATATTTATATAGCAAAAATGGGCATTTAATTAATGATAATTTTTGTTTCAAATAGTTTTTTTAATACGACAAAATATGTTAAAATTATGTTAGATGTAAAAAAATGAAACCATTGAATGTATTGTTCAAACTTTTTTATTAAGATAATTTAGTATATGTGATCTAAAAAATATTAAATAAATCCAGATAAATAACTTTAAAATGTTTTTATTTTGTAGACAGTGATGATATGAAAAATTTATAAATGTGCTAAAAACAACCTTAACTCAAATACAGTCAAACCTCTATCGAGTGGTAATTTCAGGAAATTTTACCTTTATCGAGTGGGTTTTTCTATTTTTATTATTTGACTTTTTTGACACAATAAAACATTTTTTATTTTTTTTTCAAAAATAGGTTATATAAAATATAAATAGAGTCATTCTCTAAACGTTGTCCTTTCTCCAACGTTGTCCCTCAGTTTTTAGATATAAATAACTGGAATATATCGGGAAATTTTTCGAAACGCCAGAAAATCATTGTTTCAGTTTTTTTACCGTTTTTATGATTTATTACCTAATTCCCAATTTTTTAAAGAATATTTTGTGTATTTTTTTGCAAAAGGGACAACGTTTGAAGAAAGGACAACGTTTGGAGAATGACTCTACATAAGAAAAAAAAATATATACACGTTTTAACTATAAAAGCATTTTTGCATTTAAAAATTAACTGAAAAAACTGAAAAATCATAAATGTCGTCACCCAAAAAGAAAGTCTTTCTGACCATTGACGAAAAGAAAACAATTTTGTCATGGTTTAAAACAAATCACACACAAAGTGTAGACACTCTGATTCGAAAAACCGAAGAAAAATATAACAAAAAACCAGGAAGAGAATCTTTAAGAATTTTATTAAAAAAAGGTATACCAAGTACTTTGATCGAAAAGGGAATTCCTGGTTCATCTAAATTATCAAGAAAAGTTAAACATCAAGACATGGAAGATTACCTAAACAATATGATTATTACAACAAAACGGTATAATTGTCCTGTAACATATGAAGTCATCAAATCGTTTGCCAATAGTTACTGTGCGAAAAATGGTTACGAGGACTTGAAATTTTCTAATGGTTGGATTACTGGATTTTGTTCAAGATACAATTTAAAATCCAAAAAAATCAGCGGAGAGAGTAATTCAGTAAATCCACAAGATTTTCAAACACAAATAAATTCTCTGGTTGATATCATTGCTCAATACCAACCAGAAAATGTTTATAACGCAGATGAAACTGGACTATATTTCAAATTGCTTCCAGACAAAACAATGTCGGATTTAACAAACAACCATGGAGCAAAACAAAGCAAAGAAAGAGTCACTGTAATGGTTTGCTGTTCACTTGCTGGAAACAAAGAAGACTTGCTTGTGATTGGTAAATATCATGAACCAAGGTGGCTTAACAAACCAGAATATCAGACCATAAAAAAGTATTATAGCGCACAAGAAAACGCTTGGATGGACACTGAGCATTTCCATGATTGGTTAATTGAATGGGAAGACAGACTAACCATTAGTGGCCGATGTATTCTTCTTATTGTAGACAACGCTCCGAGTCATAAACTGACGTTAAGTCTTGGGTTTTATAAAGAAAACCAAGACATGTCTATAAAGGTATAAAAAGTACTCGATATCATGAATATGAGTTGATTCTTAAACACATCAGGTTGGAATTTCTTCCAAAAAATACAACATCGGTGTTTCAACCGTGTGATGCTGGAATCATTCATTCGTTAAAATGTGCATATAAAAGGAAAATTATTTCCGAATACACCAGAGCAATAAGCGAAGTTGTATCTGCGAATAAAATTTACACTGGACTAAAACTCAATGTTGGAGATGCAATTAAATTATTAACCGCTTGTTGGTATCAAGATGTTACATCTCAAACAATAATCAATTGTTGGAGACATGCTTTGTATCAAGGAGAAAATGTATTTGACCAAATTGATACATTGGGCTATCATATTGAAGACTTGATTGAAGAAGACGTTGATGTAGTAAGAGATGAAATACCTAACAGTGGTGAAGTAATACAACGAAAAATTGAAATGGAAACATCACTTGTCAAACAAATGATGGAATTGGAATATCTCAAAGAACAAGTTCAAACAAAAGAAGAAGAAGTAAAGGATACTACCACTAAATATATAGAATTTTGTGAATTGAACGATTTAACACCAAGCCAAAACTAATTGACAATTTTAATTAAATTTATTATACAAATGGAATTTATACAAATGTGTTGTTTAGAACACGTTTTATAATTGTTAATTCACTTTTAAAAATTAAAATATTTAATACTTTTTTTACCATTTAATAAACTTGTTTATTTGTTTATTATTTTTTTGTCTTAGTGTTATTATAAAATGAAATTAAAAAACATTTTACCACAAATCCAAAGAAAAAAAATCTATTTTTCCCGAAATATTAAAATAAAAACATATAAAAAACAGTTCTTTATCGAGCGGTATCCAATTTTAATTGGCTAAAAATCCCATTCGATAAAGGTACCACTCGATAGAGATGCTATTCGATAGAGGTTTGACTGTATTCAATTGACTGCATTAATTTTAATATTAACTACTTTATTATTTTACTGTAGTTAATCTGAGAAATACCATTATTTATCAAAAAACATGAAAATTGTTAATAGTAAATAGATTAAAATTTATTAAAAAAAATCATGTGTTTGATTTTGTAAACTACATTATTATTATTTAAAATTATAAATTATATTATATTTTTTACTAATCTATAAACTATTTAATTTGTCGATTATTTAATCGAAAACGATAACTAGTATAAACACAATGTCAAAGCTTGACAGTTATAATGGAATGGTAGTTTCTAAGTACTTTAAAGATATTGAAGATTTCATTCGTCTTGAGTTTGTGTGTAAGAAGTACAATGGCAATATGAAGAAGTTCCACTTTAATCCAATTCCATTGACGTGCAAAACTATTAACTACTTTCCAAATATCGAGACTTTTCACTTGTGGGACAAAAATGAAGAGAATTTTGGCAATGGATTTTTTTATAACTTTGCATGCAATACGGACTATGTAGATTATAACAATATTAACAAATACTTCCACCGAGAGATTAAAGTCGAGAAAAAGTTTTATGAGATAGTTTTGTGGTTCAATGTTGATTACTGCACCGTTGAAGCAAACAAAAGCCAAAATTTTATTTTCAAAAATTTAAAGTACTCCATCAATGATAGAAAAAAGTTTGGTAATACCATACCAACTTGTATTAAATCAATTGGTGACAATTGTTTCAGTAATTGTCATGATTTGAAAAGTATTATAATACCATCTAGTGTCACTTCAATTGGTAATAACAGTTTCCGTGAATGTAGTAGCTTAAGCAGTGTAGTGATACCTTCCAGTGTAGTATCCATTGGTGCCAAATGTTTTGAAAAATGTAGAAATTTAAGTCGTATTGATATACCACACTATATCACTGTCATTGGTTTTAAATGCTTATTTGGAAATGAGACATTGGGGGGCTTTGATATACCACCAAGTGTTAAATGGATAAACGACAAAGAATATAAGAGTGACTTCGTTTATGTTGAATATGCCATACCAACGATCCAATTACCTATTGATTTAAACACCAACCCTACTTATGCCATGTATCCAAATCTGGCACCTTTCATCAACCCCGTTGGCATGATTAATCCAGTCGGAAATGGACCAACAGCAGGAAATTATAAGCCAGTTAATGATACATACGAAGGTAAAAACACTTTAATACAATATAATATACCATCAAATGTCATTTCTATTGAATGTTGTTGTTTTTATGATTGCAGTTGCTTGAGCAGTGTTATCATACCATCAAGTGTTGTAGCTATTGGCGATGGGTGTTTTTATAGATGCAGAAATTTGAAAAGTGTGGTAATACCATCAAGTGTCACGGCAATTGGTAGTGCGTCTTTCCGTGAATGTAGTACTTTGAGCAGTGTAGTGATACCATCAAGTGTTGTATCCATTGGTGCCAAGTGCTTTGAAGATTGTAAAAGTCTGAATAATATTGTTATACCAACTGTCACTACAATTGGGTATGATTGTTTCAAATCAAACACTGTAGTTCACAGAGAGTAGTTTTAATCAATTGAATTTTAAATGTTGTTATGTTAAAAAGTGGAAAAAATTACATCATGGAAGAATTCACCAAATTTGGATAAAGGGCGAGTTATTAACCCTTCGAGGACGGGAAAAATCAAAATTTGTAAAAAAAATCTTAGTCAATTGTAATGTAAATGTGACCTTTTTTCTTTAATTTTTTCAAAAAAAGCTAGACACCCTGGAACGACGGCTCTAGTATATTTTTATGGTAAATTGTTATAAATTATAGTAAAAAAGTGAATTTTTTGTTGAAGTTGGGATGAACAAAGGTTCACTTTTTTGCTTGATCTTTTCAGAAACAAGTCACAGTTCAATGGAAAAGTCAGATCAAATATTTATTGAGATGACCACAACTTATTACAATAATATAATTAATTATAAAATATAACAAAGACCAAATTGCATCATAAAACATACTGGTCTGGAATATTCAAAATCAATTACATCATAAAACAACGAAGAAAAAATAATAAAGCATAGACTTTGAGGTGTATTGAAATTTCATTATGCAATTGATCTCAAAAACAATTACAAGGGAAATTAAATAGATTTTTTGTAAACTTTGAAAAATACAATAATTTAAAAAATTGGGTTTTGCTATTTTTTTTGTAAAAGAAATAAGATAAGACGAAAAGACACTTTTGTTTGTTCCGACTTTGAAAAAAAATCTTAGAGAAAATAAGTGTAAAATATACAAAAAATAACTAAAATACATTTTCAAAAGTATCAAAAATCGCAAAATCGAGAAAAATTTATAAAATAAACTTTAACAATAAAAGCAGTCGCATTAAAATATACTTTGGTCACCACGAGGTTTTGTGATCACTCGTTGAAATTCACGGAGTGCCACTGTCGAGGAAGCAAGATATGAATTCATTGTTCGTAATTGGTATATTTTATCATTTTCAAACAAAAACAAAAGGCAAAACGTGTTTTATGCAATCTATTTAGAATATAAAGATTTGTATTTGATAAATAAATGTTTATTTTGCAGCCACTGTTTATTCATTTTCAAATTATGCATTTTTGGGCAACTAACAAAAAACTTATAGTAAATGTATTGAGATAATGAAAAACAAAGAAAAACACAAGTGTAAAGACATCATGATATATACCAATGTTGACACTTTAAACTATAATTTATAATAAAATAAATTAATATATTATTAATAATTTATCATATTATTTATAATAGTTTTATAATTATAATTGTTATATATTATAGAAACAATCAACAGACATAATTTTGACACAATAACACATCAACAACCATATCTTTACTCCAACGTGATGTCATCGAAGTGATAAGTGATCACATTGATATAACAATTTTGTGTAATTAAAACTAAATTGTATTTTATGTATAATTATAACGAAAATGGTATAATCATCCCTTTTATAAAAGATATCATTATAAAAGATACATAGTGTTTGTAATAAAGCGCGTTTTGACTGAAAACATATAGTTCAAATTTAAAACAAAACAAATAAGCATTTAATTTATATAAACAGAAACACACTGGTTTAGTGAATGATCAACAAAATGATCATGTGTGATATAATTGATGTAGTTGTTATATAGATACCAATTCAAATTATTTGGATGTTAGAATTGATTACAAACTATATTTCTAATATTATTTTACCATTAATAATATAGAGTCTAAAATAATAATATAATAATAATATAATAATAATTAATTTTTTTAAATGACAATAATAGTAAAATAATGTTATTCAAACACACCTAATAACAAAAATATTAAAATAATTTTTGTTTTAAAATGGATAATTTTAAAGAATATTTATAATTAACGACTCTCTGTGATTCCACGACAATGGATCAATAAGAAATAGACAAACAATTGTTATTTATAATATTATTAACAGTTATAGTTAAAAATATTAGATAATTTATAATGTATTGTTTATTCGATTGATTTTGTAACGAATTGTGTTTTGTGTTTTAAATAGATTTTTTCGTTAAATTTTTTAAAAATAAATACAGTCAGGTTACCCCGTTTTGTTCAATTGTTTTAAGAATGCAAGACATTTATAATTATTTTTAATTAATGAATACTATTTTAACAAATTAAATGCAAAGAACATTTTTGCGTTTTTATTTGAAGATTGCTAAACACTAAAATGGTTTTAATTAATTAAAAGTACTAATAAGATATTACATAAAACAACGTCACTTGCTACAAAACAAAAAAGTTTGTGATAAAACAAAGAAAATACTTGATATAAATTTGAATTAACACGATTATTGAGTTGGTTATTTCAAGATTTGTTATGGATAAATTTATAGCTTAAAATTGCACTATTTTAAACAACAATGTGCAAAACCAATTTGTAATCAAAAATTATCATTTTAATCCTTATATCCCGAAAAAAACATTTGAATATTTAATAAATATCGTAAATCAACATTAAATAATTTTGTGAAATAACACACAAATTTCTTGTTATATTTGGAATAAAAATTCAAAAAATAAATAATTACTTATTACTATAAATAACTTTGCCGCCTTGCATTTGATTTGACGAAAAAAATGCAAAAATCTGCCTCAACATCAGAACTCGAAAAATAAAACAAATTTTCAAACAGTGAAGTTATCACCATTGGAAACGAGAGATTCAGATGACCAAAAGCACTCTTCCCTCCATCCCAATCTATGAAGGTTTCTCACTCCCACACGCCATCCTCAGAATTGATCTTGTTGGTCGTGATCTTACTGACTACCTCATAAAGATCTTGACTGAGAGAGGTTATGCTTTTATTACAACTGCCGAAAGAGAAATTGTCAGAGACATCAAGGAGAAGCTCAGCCATATCGTTCTTGACTTCAACGAAGAAATAGAAAAGGCCGCCTCATCACCAGAACTCGAGAAGTCACATTAACTTCCAGATGGTCAAGTCAACACCATTGGCAACGAGAGATTCAGATGCCCAGAAGCACTCTTTCACCATCATTCCTTGGTATGGAAGCATCAGGTATCCACGAGACAATTTACAACTCAATCACAAGGTGCGATGTCGACATCAGAAACTAGTTGTATGAAAACATCGTCTCGTATGATGGAAAATCAATTTAAAAATCAACGACAGACAAGAGAAAGAGAAAGTTGCAAATGAAAAACGAATAAGCATAATCAAGGCTGTTCATGCTTGGCTCAATTTAATTATATTCATATTGGTGTTTATTTGGTTTAGTTTTAATAATTATTGTTATAATCAATCATAATATATAATAAATTTACTATTAATTATATTATTTAAAATTTGATTTTTTATAGTTTATTTATAATTATAATTACTATACAAATTATTATTCTTTTGTCACGCATTGTATAATGTATCCAAAACGGCTATATTTCTCGACTTAATTTGATGTTTTATAGCGTTGTTTTACCACATAAGATAATTATTTAATGTTATTGTTGTGTTAGATGAATAACAAACAAAAATGATAGTAAACAGTGGGTTTTTATCGAAATATTTTGATGTTATTTGGTTCTCTAAGTATTTTTACTTTGAGTGGAATCTATTTTTTATTTCGACAACATTATTTTTGTTATGTTGTTATTTTATTTTGGTTTGAACCAATCTTATTGGTTAAATCAAACCTACAAATTTGCACACTTTTTAAGTGTTTTTTATTTTGTTTTTTAAAAAACTTGAATATCTGATAATATTATATAATCAATTTTTATTAACAATTTAATTTGTTTATGAAAACAGTTTATTTTCGTATTATTTTTATTACTAATATTAATTTGTTAAATTATATATTTTATTGATTGAAGGACAAATCTTTTACAAAACCCAATTAATTTGAGTTTATGAATGATAAAATGTTTTATAAATAATTCAAAGGTTTGAATTTAAGTTGAACTATTTTATCAAATAAGTCAAAAATCGTTCTAAATTGTTCAAGAAAAGTCGCCATTATTTTCATTTTTTTGGAAAAGTGAAATTCTTTTTTGAAATTTTTTATCGAATTGAGGTTAATTATAATATGAGTACAGTTTATTTTTGTACTGGTATTTTTTAGAAAATGTTGGTTTGGTTGATTTGAATAGATTAAGTAAAAAATTGGGCAATGTTTAAATTGATGGAAAATTTTTTTCATAAATAACCAAATATTAAGAAATAACATTTTACCATTTAAACCCCATTTTCGGTCCCAGCGGTTTTTTATTCAGACTATAATAACAAATGTTTTGGGGTGCAAACTTTAAAATAAAAAAATTTTTTATAGCAATTTTTACATGGTCGTTGTACAACAACAATATATTTTTTCGATATTTCATTTTACCACTGTTTTTTTTTTGTTTTGAACAATTGTTAAAGTTAAAAGTAATTTTTACTTTCAAAATATAATAAATTCTATGTTGGTTATTTTACTATGATAATTATTATTGGTGCTTGTATCCAAAACACCACTTTTTTAAATCAAACAAATAAATGGCTTCCGAATATCACGAAAAAAATAAAGGGATTGGATTTTAAAGAAATGTAAGATAACATAGAGCAAAGAACACTTGGCTGCCCCATCTCTGATAAATATGAAGATTTTTTCGAAGCAGCATCATTTATTCAATTAAAACTTTTGCTTGAAGAAACAATAAAAAGGTATCCAGACCGCGAGAATAAAAATCGGACACACCAAATTGGTATATGTATTGAGGTGTGCAAATCCCTAAAACTTTGGGAAAACACGGTTTGTGAATTGTTCAACATTGGCAAACATACTCTTTCGAAAGAAAAGATGAAATTTCCCGCGATTGTGCACAAAATGGTACTTGAGCCGGGAAGGCCAAGTGAAATTAGAAACAACCGTGAATCAATTGTAAAATACATTTTTGATCACAGGAAAGTCGGTTTAGCAGTAACAAGTCTTAATGTATTCCAATTTTGCACTAATGAATTGCAAACGATGGTGTAAAAATCAAATTTCCATAGATACATAATGGGAATGGAACTTTTTGAATACGTTTTAGGAATACCCAACGAAAATTTCAGAGTGAAAGTGGAAGAAAAAGATATTAAAGAATTTTACAATGTTACTCTACAAAAAATAGTTGGTCTTCATCCAGCACTTGTTTTAAATGAAGATGAGATGGGAACACAACCATTCGCAGACAGAAAAGCCGTGAAAGTGTACGTCAACAAGGGAGAACAAAGAATGCACGGAACACTTAAAATTGGACTAAGCAGAGCAGGGAGAAGAACAACACTGATAGGATGCTTAGCGTTGAGTGGTGATGTGTTGACTCCAGGAACTGTTGTGCCAAACAAAACAGTGAATGTTGCATTATATTACAACGGATATGACGACTCTTCGATAAAAATATACAACACGAAGAATGGCTTTATAAGCACTGACATATTTTTGGCGTGGTTTCGAGATGTCGTTCTAACTTATATAATCAAAAAATGCAATGAACTTCGGCAAACAATCGGTGACTTTAATGGAAAAGCGGCTTTTATTATAGATGGATGCAGTTGTCACGTCAACAAAAACCTAAGAGTATATGCGAGAAAAATAACAATGAGTTGATCTTTCTTGTTCCTCACTCAAGCCATATGACGCAAAGTCTTGACGTGGGTGTCTTTGGTTCTTGTAAGAATCAACTAAGACGGTACTGTGAGTATGTGACTCAAGTAGTCAAAGATGAAGATGATATTGAAAATAAAAGCACTGAAAATGTATTTGAGGAACAACTTAATATGGAGGAAGTAATGGAGGAGAAAGAAGTAGATGAAGTGGAAGGAGAAACCATTACAAAGAAGGTAAGAGAGAAAAGCGGAGTTTTTCTTGTGAATAGACTCATCTCAATGTTGTCTGCATTTCAGGCGGCAACAACAAGACAAAATGTTGTCTCTGCTTTCCGGCAATGTGGTATTACTTACAAGACAGACATGAACTGTCCATCAAAAAAAGAGACAATCATTGTCCCACAAAAGGCGAGAATTGTGTGTCAGACATATCCAGGAATTTTTGGACTTCGGTTGCAGAAGAGGATGTAAACAGAAGTGTTTTGATTCCAATGGTGGAGCACATATCTCATCCTGTATTCGGACCAGAACGTAATCCAATTAGAAGCGAAAATGCGAGATTCAGTGAAATGAGGCAAGTTCAACAACGTCCACCAGAACAGAGACGACAAAAAGAGAGAAAACCAGTTGTTCGTAACAGCCAGAACATTTCTAACAGCCAAAGCTTGTTAAGTCAAGAAAATATAGATTTGATAATTTCAAGACTTATCTAGATAATAGGACTTTTGCTTTATTATTTTTTGTGTGTTTAACTCATGTTTTTTACAATGATACTTAAAGTGAAAATTGTCTTGTCATTCTATTGTTTATTCACCTCTCCATGATATAGTTTCTTTTGTGAACTCGATTGTCGATTTGTGTTATGTTGAAATTTACTATAACAGAACGATTCATCAAAAAACAGCGTTTACAAAACAGTGTTTACAATTTAGCGTTGAAAATTCGATTGTTTTTACATACTAATTTAGCGTTCATTTTTTAGCGTTAACAATTTAGTGTTTATAAAATAGCGTTGAATTATATATATAATGTTATATACAAACAATTAATAAAATTTTGATTGTATAATGTAATATAATAATAAAATATAATCACAAATACGATGATGATAGTAATATGGTTATAATATTTGGGAATTAATATAAGTAACAAATTTATTCTTTTATTGATTAAATGTTTTTAATTGATAATTAACCAATTTAAATATAATATTATTTAATAAACAGTTAAGAAAAAATTAATAATATAAATTTATAAAAAATTACAATATATTTTGAACTTATAATTCAAACCCTAAATACTCATTATTTGTAATTCTATGGAACAAAATGTCAAGAGGTCCAATTTTGTTGTCGAAATTCCAGTTCAAAATACATCAAGTTCAAAAAAGAGACATCCCTCCATTTATTATGAAAATCACAAATTTAAAGAATTGAACGATAAAGCAGTTTTAAATTACAAAATGTTACACCCCGACGTCTTTTCAATTTTTGAATGTATTCATGCTTCGAATGGATGTAAATGTTGTTTTGTATTATTGGATAACAAACAAGTAAAACTTATTTGCACTCATTCTGAAAACGAATTACACCAAAATGATATTTACATGTGGAAAAAGTTCGAAGTTAAAACAATCGTGATTTCTTTAATTTCTTTTTCTCCTTCAATGTCTCCCGATCAAATGGTTTCATCTATTATTTTCGCACCATCTTTTAAAATTGATAATTACACTCCAACAATTCAATATATAAAGCAACAAATAGATTTAATTAAAAGGAAAATGTACGGTACATTACCAAAAAGCATCAAAGAATTGACTTTTCAAGGGATATATTCCAAAACTGTTTCTGGATCACAATTTGTTCAAGACAAAATAATATACAGAGATGAAAATGGTGATGACCGTACAATGTTTATGTTTTTTTTCTTTACTTCAACTTGAAATTCTAAAAAACAACCAGGCCGTTTTGGGAGATGGAACTTTTCAATGTGTACCTTTAATGTTTTCACAATTATACACACTCCATTCTGTTATTGATGGATTTGTTTTTCCGTGTTGTTTTGTTTTAATGGAAAAGAGAACAGAATGTGCATATACATCACTTTTTACAAATTTAAAAGAAAAACAAGGAGTGATAATAACAAAGTTTATGTCAGATTTTGAGTTGTCTTGTAAAAATGCAATAATAATGGTTTATAAAGAAGTTACCTTGCTTGGCTGTTGGTTCCACTTTAATCAGGCCATTTTTAAAAAGGTCAGTAAGTTGGGACTTTCCAAAATTTACACAACAGAAACAAAAGTCAACATGTTTATAAGATCTCTTTTCGCTTTACCATTTCTTAGGCCACAAGAAATTGTCGAAACTGTTCAAGAACTATCTGAAACCATCGATACAATTGACACTTCAGAAGTAAATAAAGACAAATTGAAATTATTGATGACTTATTTTAACAAAGTGTGGATTGAACGTTATCCCCCACCCGAATGGAACCAAAGTTTGGATTTGTTGATGAAAACGAACAATTGGAGTGAATCATTTCATTCTTCATTTTCTCGAAAATTTTACAGAACACACCCAAACGCATTTGTTTTAGTTGAAAAACTTAAAGAAGTTGAAAGAAAAGTTGAAGTTGACTTTAATTCATTTATTAATGGAAAACTTAAAAAACAAACCAATAATTACTATAATAAATACAACGAAGAATTATCAGAATTGCTCACCAAAAGAATGAATTTGTTTGGAAATAATAAATTATTATTTTTAGAAAAAGTGGCAACGATTCCTTTAAAAATCATTATTTCGTTAAAAAAAGATATGGTTAACCAGAAAGTTGATGTGATCGACGATGTACAAAACGTTCTCAATGAAACCTCAATACGTGATGTCGAAGAAATTGATTCATTAATATCAGATGCAGTTGATGAACCCGATTTCAAAATGGGAATATTCAATCATTCCAACATTGAAATTACAGAATGTTCAAAAGAAAAACAATTTAATAAAATGAAAATATTAACAAAAATGAAAATTAAAAAACGCATCCAAAAAATCCAAAAAATAACACACAATTCTCAAAAACCAAGGAAAAGAATAACTGTTAAATTAAATAGTAAAGACATCGAAAATATCGTAAGTGAACTTGATAACATTTCAGAAATCCCTTTCATTCAAACAATGGAATCATCTACAGTTCATTTTAATAAGGAATGTCAAACAATAGAAAGTTCTTCGTTGATAAACAGTTCCGTGATTAACATGGATGATAGTAAAAGTGAGTTATCAAGTAAGAAAAAAAGAAAAACTACAATAATTGGAAAACTAAGAAAAATGACCCAAAAGAAGAAAAAAGATAATTAATTGCTTACTTGTTTTTTTAATTTAAAATGTATAAATTTTATTAAATTGGTTACTGTTTATAACAACAAACAAATCATCCTATATTACAAATTATTTTATGTTTGTTTATAATTTGTTTGTATATAACATTATATATATAATTCAACGCTATTTTATAAACACTAAATTGTTAACGCTAAAAAATGAACGCTAAATTAGTATGTAAAAACAATCGAATTTTCAACGCTAAATTGTAAACACTGTTTTGTAAACGCTGTTTTTTGATGAATTGTTTTATATTATTAGTTTGATTTTTAGTTTAAAAACAAATAGATACTATATTATTTATTTAACAAATAAAAAATTTCAACAAAGAACGTGTTATAAATACTCAACAGCACCATTACATACTATCCACATATGGGTGAAAAACTGATTTTTAACTCAAGTTTACATTTCTAATTTGATATTTTTCATTGACTGTTTTTACAACAAATTGCAACGTAATTGACTGATTTTGGTGAAACATGTTGAGTTTAATAAATGGTGTTAACAAGTTTGTTTAATGATTTTGGAAAATAAAACAGAACGATATAGGTTTAATAAGACGTTGTGAATCAACGACAAATCATTTAAACACGTAAAAGCTATGTTTTTTTCATTTTATTTTTTTGCACTTGGTAAATAATTGATTATTTTGATGATTTAATAATATAGTTTGTTTTACCATATTTAAACTATTAAAAATAAGTAGTCAATTCCCAAAATATTAAAAGAGTATTTGAATACTCATTTAACCCTTCCAATACCAGAAATATGATTGTTATAACACGCATACAAATGAAATTAAACTCAAATTCGTAAACTAAAAGTTATTCTAAATTAAACAGTTTTTAGTTTTAATATTGTGTTTTTCAGTTCATATTTGATGTATCATTTATAATATGAAAAAAGTTTGCACGTTTTATTTTTGTATGTTATATAAATTAAAAGTCTAACACAGTTGTGTCATACATATTAGTTATAAAATTTATTTTAAAATAATTTAGAGTAATGTATATAAAGGTTCTTTCTTTAAAATGTGAAAAAAGTAGTAATGTTATTTATATACATTTAATTTATTTTGTGTTATGAAAACGATTTTTTTTAAAACGATAGTTAAGAAGAAAAATTTCGTAAATATATCTCGTATACATATGATTCTCAACAAAAGTTCATAAAGTGAGAACGCTAATAATCAGTGTGGTTGCACAACTAATATCATAATATTTAATTGTTTGTTACATATATTAAAATTTAATAAAATGTCAACTTTTTTACACGTTAGTTACAAAACATCAAAACATTTACAATATAAACTGAATTAAAATAATTACTTTTGGATTTTTCAAAGAATACGTATTCCTTGTTTT